ATACCCATTATTCGTTTTTTCTTTAAATGAAAAATAAAAAAGATACTTACTATTTGTGCGAAACAGCTGCCGGAACTCGTGCAAGGTGGCTGCCGGAACTCGCGCAGGAGGGCTGCCGGATCTCGCGTAAGGGGCTCCAATCGCAGGACTTTCGCGTAAGGGCTGCGAAACGGCTCCTTTACTTTACTCCAATTACAGGATTTTCGCATTTTAAGTCATTTTAGGGATTTAAGTCACTGGGATGCGCATGCGCATGCATGAGTAGCTTGGGCTTATGGCCCATACATATAGGCTTATCATAAAAATTATTTTTTTGTCCTTCTAAAATTCTTTAAGTCAATTTGGTATATTTCGGTTTTTTAATGTGAAAGTGTATCAATTTTAGTCATTGAAGTAGTTTAAATAGTACTTTATAATCAAATTTAAGTGTTATTTAAACTATTTTCATTAGTGAAAAATTAGTATATTACGTCACCTTTTTAACGTCAGAAATATGAAAATTCGACGTAAAAAAGACGCGGTGGTATTTTTGAAATTTTCGTGAACTTTTTTACGTCGGACCTGGTATGGTCTAACGTAAAAAGTCAAATCTATGTCGGATGTATCTTGTGTCCGACGTAGATTTGACATTTTACATCGGACCCTACCAAGTCCGACGTAAAAAAAGGACGCGAAATTGAATAAGAGAGTGCGAGGCACACCGCGGGCATTCACTCTTAATCACTTTTCATTTTTTTCTCTATAAACTCTCTCCGTTTCCTTTGTTACTGAATCATTTTTTTGTCTTTTACAGAGGGATGAACTCTTTGTTACTCATTCGCACACTGTTGCAGCTCATCAGGTATGAATCAAGGTTTCGCTAACACTTTTCTACTTCGCATTGCTACTGTGGCTATCTGTTTTATTCAATTTTTTGGTTGTTTTATTTGTATAGGTCGTTGGCGTTTTCTTTTGGGTTGTTCTACGAAGCAGAACGACCTGTTCTGCTTGGAGAATGGGTCGTTCTCCAAGCATTCTTATTTTTTTAATGTTTTTTTTACTACTTTTTTACGTCGGATTTAGTAATGTCCGACGTCAATTTACGTCAGTTTTACAAGTCTGATGTAAATTTATGTCTTTCACTTTTATGTCGGCATTTTTTCTAACGTAAAAAGCTCAAAATATCCGACATGGAATACCTCTTTTGTACTAGTGTTTGTAAACTAAAAAAAATACATCTTTAAACTAGAAGAATCAAAACAGAAGATGAAAATTTACTAAGGTACATAAATTCTTAACGGAGAAGGGGCGATAAAATTTAAAGGGTAAGTTTTGTAAAAGCAAACTTTATTATTTTTAGAAATTTGAAACTAAGTATGTTTATTTTTTATTAATTAAAAAATAACATCATCAAAAAACATTTTATTTTTTGGAAGAAAAACAACTATATTTTTTCAAAAGATTAGTATTTTAGTTTGTGTTACACATGCTAAATATTTATTATATATAATTAAAATTTATAAATTATGCATAAATAAATGTTATATTTGAATTAATAAATTATATTTAAAATTTATATAAATTAATATTTTTAAATATATAAAGAAAATGGTTCAAACGATATCGGTATAACTTTTATTAAGTATTAAATCGCTCAATAACTTTATATTAAATGTGAATTCTATAAATTCAACTGTTAGATTGAAAGTTCTTTACTCTTATCTCATATATTCAAAATTTTATATTAATCCAAGAAGATTTGATATATACTTCATTCTTAGAAAATAAAATTGACATAATATATACATTTCAAAATATAATAAAATATGAACATTTAAATTACCTTCAAGTTATTATTCAATTTTAATAAAATTTGATATAAAAATATAAAGTGATATAAACTTTCAATCTAATGGTTGGATTTACAAAATTCACATTTAATATAAAACTATTGAGTGGTGTAATACTTAGTAAAAGTTACACCGATATCGTTTGAACATTCATCATATATAAATTATATATTAGATTAATAATAAGACTATTTATATTAGATATAAGATTATTTTAAATTATTGATAATATATTTTAAAATGTTAAAACAGAATTTATAATGTCATTGAAGGCAAAAATATTTGGTGTAAGTTTTAAAATTTACACCAAATTTTATACCTTAAATAATTTTGTATAATGCAAAATTAGCTGATCCAATCATGGAATTAAGTGATATTATATTCAATATCATTTATATCAAATGTTACAAGATTTCAAAATTATACTAATTGACACCAAATATAAGTCTAAAAACTTACATCAAATCTTACACTTTTTGTATAATATAAAATTAATCAATTCAATTGTTGAATTGGGTGATATTAAACTTAAGATCATATATATCAAATTTCATATGATTCCAAAATTATTTAGTAGATCATCACATTACTTTATTTTAATGTATAATATGATATTTAAAATATGTGTAAACACATATTTTTGGATAAAATATCTATAAAAAAAACGTTCTAATCATGTGAAATTCAATTTACACAATCACTACTAGAATTTCTCTTATTACATGCGACTTTTCCTATTAATTTGTTATTAAAATCCACAGTAAACATTATTCATATGAATTTTTCTGCAAAATTTTATCTACAAGTAATACTTTTGTGAATAATATATTTTTGTGAATTTTAAAATTTGCAAAAATTTTCCTACGAAATTTCTTGCAAAAAAAATTCACAGGAAAGTTTCCTGAAAAAAAATTCTGCAAGAATATTTTTTAAGAGAAAAATTAAAGAAATTATTACAAATTTTATCAATAATTCTTCAACTTTTAAATGCTCACAATGAATTCATCCGAAGCATTTGTTTCCACGCCTCCAATGTGTGATACATAATCTTTTAAACTCTAAGATTGTAGATTATAAACCTAACACTCAACCATACAAATCAACTTATAAAGTAAGTGTTGTCCCAACTTATATACTCTTTAATTATTTTATTTTCAATCGATCTGAGACTTTAAATTTTTTTAAAAATATTGAATTTATAAATTGAAATATATTTTTTATTTTTATCATTTAATAAACATTACTTGCGAATTTATTTTTGCAAGAAAATCTGCAAGAAACAAAATAAAATCTTTACAATATTTTCTGCAAATTTATACCATGAAAAAAATTTCTATGATTATTAAAATTGTAGCAGCATTTGCAAAAATTTCTTGTAGATTATTTTTTTCATAAAAAATTTATAAAAAAATATCTGTAAATTATTTTTCGCAAATAAATTCGTAAAAAAATTGGAGAAATTATTATTGCAAGAAAATTCGCAAAAATTTTCTGCGAATATTTTTTTGTAGGAAAATTCATAAGAAAATGACACTTTTCTAGTAGTGAATCTTGGGTATAATTTAATATATTCAACAGTTGAATATATTAAATTATTTTCATTATACAAAAAGTTATTGAAGATATAAAATTTTATGCAAGTCTTTAGACTTACATTTAGTGACAACAAATCCTGTCTCTATAAATAAATATGATGAATACAAATTGAATTAGATAAAAAAATTAAAAGAATTCCTAAAATCTCTCTCATTGAAGCAAAATGCTTAAAAATAGTCTCGTTAAAGAGAAACTTGTAACAAAGTTCTCGCATAGTTGATTACATTTAATATATAGAAGTCAATTATTATAACATTCCATTTTTTCATAAAATATAAGTATTTAATAAATATTTTTGTTGTAATTAATGGAGTTGTTTTAAAGTGATTTGATTAAATGTTTTATTTAAGTAATTGAGGGAAAATAAATTAGTAACTTTGGTTGGGTAAGTTTTGGCTTATGGTTAAGAGAAAGAAAGAAAAGTTTTTTCTTAAAAAAGGAAAGTTTTTGATCTGTTGTCATTTTAAGCATTCTCTTTTAATGCTATCGTTTTTAAAACCAGTTAAAATTTAACCGATTTTAAAAGACCTTTTAAAATCGATTAAATTTTAACCGATTTTAAAAATTAAATTCTCTTTATCTTTTAAAATCGGTTCACAAAGAACTGATTTTGTATAGTCTATACAAAATTGGTTTATTTTGGAACTGATTTTGTTTGCATCATACAAAATCGGTTCTCAATAAACCGATTTTAAATATCCTCCTCAAATTTGCACCCTCATTTTCTCCCGCAAGTTTATCTTTCGAACGCATTTTTTCTCTTCGTTGTAGTTGTTCATCATCGTTCCTCGTCGTTGGCCATTCATGGTCGTTCATTGTGAGTTCCTCATCTCCCATAAGGTATGTTGTTGTTTGATTATAGCTGGCCACATTGAGGTTAATTCTTTTCAAGCCAAAGAATGGGTTTTTGATTTTCTGGAATGTAGGAAGGTTGAAGGCACCGGGTTCGTTTTCGTCTTCGGCGCTGCTGTTCTCGACGGTTACAACCACCACTGCTTCAACAGTGGGCACCGGGAGCACGACCTTGTCGCTGTCTGTGCATGCGTTTGGTGCTTTTGCGGGTTTGTTTTTGTCTTCGCCATCGCCATCACTGTTCTCGACGGTGACAACCACCACTGCTACAACCGTGGGAACCAGGAGCACGACCTTGTCGCCGTCTGTGCTTGCCTTTGGTGCTTTTGCGGCTTCTTCTGCTACTGGTAATGTTTTTTTTGGTAGGATTTCTGTTGATTCTTACAGTAATTTCCACTTGTTTTATATTTGTCTAGTGTTATGATCTGTGGGGAAAAATCAAACAAGAGAAAACAAAACCAATATTATAGAAGGTGACTTTTGTGTCTTAAAAGATGTGTTGTTAATAGCGTGCAGTAGCTTGGCAAAGAGTGTGTGTGAGTTTTTCTTTGAGTGTCTTTATCTACTATGATCCTTTGTTTTGAGTGGCTTTTGAGCAAGTTGTGAATAAAACTATGCAACTTTAGTATATCTTCTATAGTCCCGTAATCTATGGCATAATTATTAAGTTTAAGGCTCTATCTCCATCTCCACTTCTTTTTAAAATCGGCTCTTTTAAAATCGGTTGTGGAACCGATTTTAAAAGTTAAAAATAACCGATTTTAAAAGTCTTTTTTCTACTAGTGAATGAAAAACCTTGTTCTAAGAGTGAATTTGTATGTTGGGTGACGACCGGCGAGATTGGTCTCCAATCTCATTTCTTTTAATTATTTGTGCATGAGGTGTTTTTCTTAATTAAGCTCTTTTGCTTTTATTATTTTTCTTGTACAATTAATGAGATGAATTATTTAATTGTATGATTAATTGTATATTTTAATTGATAATTGCATGATTCGAGGCCCTATAAAAAATTCTAATAATATGTTTGGATAAGATAATTTAAAATGATAATTTATTTATTTAAAAAAAATTAATTATTTTATAATTAAATTATTTGTTTGGATAAGTGATTTAAAAGGAATTCTAAATGATATCATTTAGAAGAATTTCAAATTCTCCCTCAAACTTGGTGAATTTCAAATTACTCGCTCAATATTCACTGTCTGTCCTTCTCGACCCTTGCTCGCTCCTCGCAAACTTCACTCTCCCTTGCACTTACGATCCTTGCTTGTAGTTGCAACTTCTTCGTTGACGTGCTCTTCTACTACTAGATTTTAATCCTTTAGCAATATTTTCTTGTTTACATTTATTAAAATGTTACTATATATTAAATAAATATGTTATTTTGTAACACTTTTTTGAAAAATGTCATTATAGATAGAGTAACATTTCTTATTTCAATATTATTCTTTTTAAGTGTTTTCAAAATCAAAGTCCCATATCGAGTAAAAAAAAATTACATAAGTTATTTTGCAACATTTTTTTGAAAAATGTTACTATAATTGTTTCTAAAATCAAAATCTCACATCGAGTAAAAAAAAGTATATTTCTCTTATATCTAATTGTAACTCATAATTAAAATCTCACATCGAATAGATTAATGACTCATAAAGAGTATATATACTCATATAGTTATATTTAAGATAAATGAAATTTGATATTCTATATATAATTAATGGTGACTAACTAAAAATGTCTTTAAAAATGTCTTTCCCTAAAAATTTAAGGAACTCCTAAAAGTTTAGGAATCATAAAAATATAATAATTGATAGTAATATTTAAATTAAAAATAATTATTATTTTATAAAGTTAACAAAATCTTGGCAACATTATTAAAATGTTACAAAAATACTACTTTGATAACATTTAAAAAATGTTACCTAATTATGTAAAAATATTATTAAAAGTCTTTTAGATAGGTTTTCATTTGAATTTTACTTAATTAGTTTATTTCTAGGGTTTCGTTTTCAATTTCATGTTTGATTTCATTGTTTTCTTATACTTTCATCTTTCTTCTCTTTTTAGATAAGATTTTATTTTTATTGAATTAGTTTATTATCTAGGTTTCATTTTTAATTTCATGTTTGATTTCGTTGTTTTCTTATACTTTCGTCTTTCTTCTCTTTTAGATAGGACTTCATTTGATTTTTATTGAATTTGTTTATTTATTATTTAGGGTTTCATTTTCAATTTCGTGTTTGATTTCTTTGTTTTATTATACTTATTCATTTGTTTCATGTAGGCACGGGGTTGGCAAATCTCTTTGTCTCAAGTTTAACTTTGAATCAATTTTGCTTTCCTCTATTCTTAATGACTTTTGGCTCTAAGTTCTTGGATTGGAGTGCATACTCTAAAATTGATTTGTTGTGTATGGTGACTAGTTGTTTGTTGTGATTCTTGCATGTACAAGATTGCTCATACTTATATTGGTTCTAATTGATTTTAATATAGATTTCATCTTTTGTTAACTTGCAATTGGTAGTTAAATGTGAAGAAAAAAAATTGGCTGTACTGAAGGCATATTTAATGTTGAGTTGATATTCATATGCATTGGGTTGCCAAACTTGAATGCAAAGTTCATTGGCCGAAGGCTTATCTTAATTACTCGTGGATAATGTGACGTTTGAAAATTTAGATAATCTTTAATTCAATTATGATGAGCAGTAGGTGACAGATTAACCTATAAATTAATAAATATTACTGAGATATGTGTATGTAAACAATATGTTGCAAACTTTCTTTGGTGATACCCTATAATTATTTGCAGTATTGTAATATGTGAGGATTGAATTTAATATTGAGCTTCAGAGGGACTGTGGCTCCATGTCTAGTTTACATACCTTGGTCTCTTTTTTTATTTTTTGTTTTTCTATGCTTAATTGATAATCTTTAATTCAATTATACACAAGAGGTTTCTCTAGTGGTGCTATGGCAAAGTTAGCAAGCCTTTGAGGCGGGCATAGAACTAGTCAATTAGAGTTAGCAACAATAAACATGAACAGTAGGAAAAAAAAAGTGGAGCAAAATATCAGTTAATTGTACGGATTTAAAGAATGTGTGGTCAAAAGATATTTTTAATGCATGGAAGAGAAAAATAATGTTTTTTTAATTTTTTTCTTGAGATGGGATGGTGTTGGTGTTGTTGTTGTTGTTATTGGACGTGAAGGATAAGGAAAGGATTTAATTCTTTTTCTCTCAAGGTTGTTTTTGAAAGGTGTGAGAAGCAATGGAAGAAAATGGGTGATGTCCAAATACATTGATGCTATTAGGTTGTTGTTGCATGCTAATGTGTTGTAATGTAATAAGGGTGGTATTATTTTTTTTGAATTTATCAGAATGCCTCACAGCCACTCACATTTGATTTTAGCATGGGAGAGTAGTAGCTAGTTTCAAGTTTTGTCTCATGATTGTTGATTAACAAAAAATAGTCTTATCACAAGAGTGAATTTAGATTTAAAACATATACCAAAATGGCAATGTTTGCTTCTTATTATTCATTATAAATTACAAGTACAATAAGTGAGCTAGTGTTCTCTTTTTTGTTTAACAGGAGCCAAATGCAAAGAAGGGAGGTGAACTAATTTTTGGAGGTGTTGATCCAAAACACGTCAAAGAAAATGATACATATGTGTTCCAATTACTAAAAAAGGTTGCTCGCAAGTTAGCAAAACAAAATTTAGTTTGATTAGGATTTCTCTTTAAATGTATATTTTATCATGAAAAAGCTCACATGAATATTTTATTTTTCAGATTAAAATGGTAGATTTTTTCATGGTAGATCTCTCAATTGGATGACTTCATTGTTCTTCAATGCTAAGATAGTTTCAGTTGTCTTTTGGGGAGTCATTTGGAAACAAGTGATTGAATGAAAGGTCTTTTAGAATATTATTAAGGAGCAAATTTCGGGTGTATTTTCAATGTCTCACAATGTAGTATATTTTAAGGATATATATGATGATTTGAGTAAAACATTAAACGAAATAAGTTTATGCACTTATTTTTTTTGTTTTAACTTTTAACAGATTTTGATGTCTTTTTTTAAGTAGATCTGATATACCAATATTTAAAATTTTACATTACTATGCTTGAAATCTATTTTATTTTTTAATAGTGAGTATTGGATGTAATGTAATTTAGAAATAGTTTGTAAATTCATAAAAAGAAAAAACAATGTCTAATATTATATTTTAATTATTAAAAATTGTCTAATAATATTATTTTTCAAGTATTAAATACCATTTAACATTAATTTTAAATTATTAAATATTTACAAATTGACTTATGTTTATTTTTTTTATAAAGATTATATTAAAAGCTTAATAATTCATCATATATAGTCTTGAAATATTATCACATCTTCTTTAGATGGAGGTTACTAAACATGAAACAAAGTAATGTTATTTAAAGACAAGTTCATTTCTTGCTTTCCAAAATTCATCTAGAGCAACTACAAAAGACAAAGGTCAATTAAGGATCTGTTCCATCTCTTCAAAATGATAGGTTAGAGCTAATCCAATGAACTACATCACCCTTAAAGAAGCTTGTAGAGAGATGGTCATTTGTTAGTTGTAACGAGGTTGACTTACCCAGATCGCTACCTCTCAAGATATGGTCAATGCTTTCTAAGACCTGGCATTTGGGACAAGAAGGATCTGACGTTTGTTTGCAATATTTCAAATGGATTTTCAAACATAGCCGAAATCATTCTTAAAAATCATAATTCTCAATATTTAGGAATTCAATAAATTATGATTTTTAAGCATGAAAAAAATGTCTACTAAACCCTAACATTTATAAAATAAAAATGTTTGATAGCGATGAAATAAGAGGGAAGGAGAGAAAAAAAATGTGTAAAAACTATTATACATCCACAATTTGGTAGCACAAGATGAAATGAGAAGAAATCTTCATCAATTCCAAAAAAAAAAAAAAGAATTAAACAATGTAAATTTAAAATAAAATAAATACGCTATAGATGCAATATAATCAATTATCATGCGAGATCCAATCAATTATGTCTCTACTTTTCTTATATTTATCCCTTTGTTAATTGATTAGGAGTGTTTACTCTCTTTCCACCCTCCCCTTTACACAACTCCACCAGACCAATAATAATCTTCAATCTATTACCCCTTCCCCTCCCAAAAAAAATCCCAATCCGCGCCCAACAAATGATGACAAAATATATAAAAATAATTATTATAATTATATAATAATAACAATAACTGAAATATAATACTAATTATTAAATAATAGTAATAATAATTTTATTTATTATTTTTTGAATTAAATAAACTCTCAAAAAATTGTCAACTACTTTATTTTTCTTCGATCTAACAATCTCTATTTACACTCTACTTTTACACACTTCTTGTCTCTTTATTTTCTTTCTGTCTATCAACAATACAAAAAGACAGATTTAGAGGTAAGGTTAAAGAACTTTAAAGAATAAGGATATTTTAACAATTTTGTAATTTATTATACATGTGTATAGTATCAAAATTTCAATCACTAGTTTCTAATTAATATTTATAATAAAAATTAAATTCATAAAAGAGTAAAAAAAAAATGAACTGTATTTCGAAATTTAAACTTAAACATTATATATAAACCTAATTACTATTTTAGTCAATAATTTATGCAAGAAAGTGATATGAATTTTAATTTTGTAGAAATTGTTACATATAATATTACTGAGAAAAACGATGTCATCACGAAAACATGCCAATTGACATGAGATTATTTCAACTTAATCAATAATCTTAAATTAAAATTTTGAATGTAAAATTATATTAAATATTTGAAAGTAAAATTGTTGTTGACGTTAATTCTATCCGGCTAAAAAACCAATGGAAAAACCAAATTTATACAATTACTAGCCTTCTCTTTGACCACTATATTGATATTAACCATTAACATACTTCAGTAGTTGTGAACAATTAGGTCTGGAAATTAATTTCTAAGGGCACTACTATATATGAATGCCAGGATTAACGAAGTTTGCAACTTAAGTGTGCATAATCTGAGATAGGTAAAGTTCAATTTCGGAGAGAGAAAACAAAATATGTTTTATAAACTTGAATAGCGAAAAACTTCAAACAAGTTGCGTATCAAATTAATTTTAATCTAGCTAATATGAGTTTAAATCTCCGGGTCCCGGAAAAATTGAATATTAACTAGACATACATCCGCGTATTAAAAATATATTATTTTATTAATTAATATATAAGTTTTATATATAATTTTTTAATTATGTAATATAAGTTTGTTACTTTTACTCTAGGAGTAAGTCTACCTAGACTTACTCCGTTCAATAACTCGTGTTCTACATCAAATTTCAACAATCTAACCGTTCAATTTAAAGTTCTTAATGCATAGATCAAATCTGCAAATTTTTAGAAAATTTGAAAATCATTTAATACTTCATTTTATTAATTCAAATTGAGAGATCATAAAATCATTTTATACATTGATTCGAATTAATGAAACGAATTATCTAATCATTTTCAAATTTTCTAAAAATTTACAAATATGATCTATGCATTAAGAACTTTAAATTGAACGGTTGAATCATTGAAATTTGATGTAGAACATGAGTTATTGAACGGAATAAGTCTAAGTAGACTTATTCCTGTGTAAAGGGATCCCTCCTCATTTTATTTTAGTTGAAATATAATTTACAACATAGATAGGTAAATAAAAAATTAGCTAAAATTGTAACAAGAAAATTTAAATATTAATTTATTTATTTTCCAAATTAAAAAAATGAGAAATAAAGAATGCCAGGCTAATATTCAACTTTATTGATATTTTTAATTTAAGACGTCGGTTTTAATTTATTAAAGTTTGTCAATTTTTTAAAATATAAAAAAAAACTTTTATATTTTATTTTGTTGTAGTTTACTTTTGATAACCATTACAAACACACAACAACAAATAAATACTAATAGTTAAGAAAATATATTTGTACTGTTCATATTTGCAAGAGAGAGAATGTTATAATTCTTTTTTTTATCAATCACATCTCTTTTATTAATAAAATTTAAATCTAAAAATTTATTTAAAAAAAAAGTTATCATAAGTTAGAAATATATATTATAAATATGGATCAAAATAAATTAGAAATTTTTAAAAAATTATATACTATAATTAAAAAAATGCCTAAAAATCTAATTGTAAAAAAAAATTCTAAATATATTTTAACATAAATAACTATTGGTATTAATTATGTAGGAGTGCATATAAATATTTTTTTTATTATAAATTAATGTCTTGCTCTTACAAAAAAAGAAAATGGGATTGATACTCAACAACAATATTATCATCATTTTAAGCAATTTATATATTTTTTTAAGTTGGCTCAAAATCTAATTTGGTCTCTTATAATAATTAATAGTTTCAATTTCATCCCTCAATAATTTTGGTTTCAATTTGTTCCCAATAATTAAAAAAATATCAATGTAAGACTTTTCGTCCAAATTTCACAAACGGTGTTAAATGTGATAACGTGGATACCACGTAGATGCATAGGTGGCAATGTCTCATACTCCTTCTTTAATGCATCTGGAACGACCTATTCTAAAATCAGAACGGCCCGTTCTGCTTACATTTGTTGTGTGTTAATTTTGTATCTGAAACGGTCCGTTCCAGATGCAAATGTAACACACAACGAGTGCGATAGAATGTTCTGGTTTAAGAACGAGTCGTTCTGGTTTCAGAACAGGCCATTCCAGAACACCAACAAGGATTAACGTTTAAATTTAAGTGTGACATTAAAAAAGCATTGACTAATATTTAAATTTAAGTGTTATATTTCAACAAAATGTTTAACAAAATGCAGCAATGTGGTTCAAAGATTGCAAACAAAAATTTATAACAACATAAATTCAAATATTAAAATATGCACCAGAGTTGATCTTGTCATCCCTATTTTTCATCATTGCCCATATAAATAATAAATCAGTTAGGCGTACTTTACTCTCTGAGCCGCCACGACCTAGAACAGTGGATGCAATAAACCTGTGCATAATTCTAATGGCAGAATAATGAAATGTAGATGAATTGCATTTATCACCCTCCCATTGTGTATGACATGTTACAGCCCCCCAAACACATGTATGGATTAAATGATCTTGGGTTTTTTTCCCTTATGGTTTGAAATCCAAAGATACCATTGAATTCCTCCAAATTGAGACGATACTCTATATTAAAAAGTCTAAAAGAAATCAATCTTGGTTCAATATTTGCCCCAATCAAAATTTTAATATGGAGAGAACTAAGAAATTCAAGAACAATCCTTGCATCAGAGAACTAAGAAATTCATAACGGGTCATTCCAGATACATTAAAAAAGGAGTATGGATCCTTGCCACCTATGCATCTAAGTGGCATCATGTCATCCACATTTAACATTGTTTGTGGAATTTGGACGGAAAGTACCACATTGACATTTTTAAAATTATTGAGGATCAAATTGAAACAAAAAATTATAGAGGGACGAAATTGAAACTATTAATTATTATAAGGGACCAAATTAGGTTTTTAGCCTTTTAAGTTTTATTTAGCGACCGAATATAATTTGGTCGCTAAGTTTAACTAATATTTTGCGACCAAATTCAATTTCATCGCAAATGGTGGATTGCTTTGTGTTTAGTAACTACCCAAATATAATCGGTCGTTAAAAAAATCAAAATTTCTTATTTAGCAACCAAATTAAATTCGATCGCAACATTTTTTTACAATTTAGTAGCTAGTTGGTCGTTGGTTCCGCCACAAACTTTGTGTTCATGAAACACAATCAACAGCGACCAAAATAGCGACCGATTTTTTAGCAACAACTTATTTTGGTCGCTAAATCAGTCGTTATTTGATTATTCACAATCGGTCGCTAAATCAGTCGCAAAATAGAGACTGATAAATTTTGGTCGCTATTTTACAATTTTCTTGTAGTGATAATTTGAAATATAATTAGTTAG